TATTTTGACACAGATTTGGTGCACCATCTTGCATGAACTTCTTTTCCGATGTTTTGCAGTCGTCTAACAAAGATTCAACCAAATCTGAATTAATCCCGTTGTCAAATAAACCACCGTTTGTTTCTCCAAGAGGCATATTGATTAATTAAGCGCCACCGCTTACTTAGTCATTTAGCAGGCAGTAGGCTGGTCTAAGACTCTGATTTTAAAACTGAGAAGGATTGCAATCAAGTCCTGCTTGGAAGCGGGTGAATTTTCCAACCACGCTGCAAGGGTAAAATGAATGAGGCAAATGGGATTTCAACCTCTGGCTTCTGGTTGGTGGATCTGATCTATCCTCCCTTGCCGTTTAATTAAGAGCTGCGCCCAACGCCTGACAATGGGGTGGGGGCGTTTCACGGAAGCGGAAAGGTGGCTCTTGACCTACCTGGTGCGCGGAGCTGTAACACCGGTATACGTATACTTTGAAGTATTTATTTATACACATGCACACACACACACACACACACACACACACACACACACACACACACACACACACACACACACACACACACACACACACACACACACACACACACACACACACACACACACACACACACACACACACACACACACACACACACACACACACACACACACACACACACACACACACACACACACACACACACACACACACACACACACACACACAAATGCACGCACTGAGCCAGGGCCCGTGCAGCTTTCCTTCAGCGAAGGGACTGGGGATTACATGTCATGTAACATGAGTGTACAAATTCTCATGAAGAGGTGGGGGCAGTCAGCTGTCTGCAGTGCTGAGTAAAATTTTTTAATTACAGCTCGCATGAGAATGAGACAGACTGACCTTTCCACATCCGTAGGAAGGCCCCCACTTTTTCAGTATACGGGTGTGTAGATCAGACCTACCACAAAATGGTCAACCACCAAAAATACCATTCACTGCGACCACACCACCATTGTTCTATCCTGTGCATGGATGATATCATATTCCGGTCACTCGATACCCTCATGCCACTCCATGATCATGCCCAACTGCCCGCATACTAGTAGACTAGGATCAAGGCGCAGATGCAGCTCCTAGAGCGGCGGCAGGCGAGTACATGTAGATCAGACCCACCACGAAAGTGGTCAAACACCAAAAATCCCGTTCACTGCACCCACAGACAGTAGTGCCCTTGTTCCAGTCTATACATGGATGATATGACTCATACGATGATTGATATCACATCACAGTATAACACCACCCATGATCATGACCAGGGAGTCGTAAAATACCGGTGTTTTACGACTCCATGATCATGACCAAGTACCCGTATAGATTAGGAACACGTGTACACAATAACCTCGTTCGGATTCAAATGAAATGATTAACGTGAAAAGGAGTAACATGGACCAGCCTGGATTAAGTTGTTAAAAATTGGGCACGGGGGGGGGGGGGGTGGTGGTGTTGGGTAAAAGGAGAAACATCATAATAAAAACCAGATTGCTTGGATGCAAACTGAACGATTGAAAAGCAAAAGGGATAGGCTTCCTAGTCCCAATAGCCCGGATAAAACTCTTGACTGCTAAAGTGCACATACTGACAAGCGGAGCTTTTCTAGAGGATACCGATAGACGCAGTTTGAGATACTTGTTAAAATTGAACGAAATAGAAATATTCCTAGAAATGAAGAGAAGAAAACTGGTGATACGCTACGCCCGTGTATGCTTCTGTCTTGTGCACAGCATGCTGCCGGCGTGCTAGTGTAAACGTCGTCTGGACAGGTCAGTGTGTTGCAATGTGCTTGTGCACGGGTCTTGGCTACTAGGCGTATTGCTCACGTGCCTGTGGGCTTGAAGGGGGGGGGGGGGGGGGGTTGGGGTTGGGTGAGGGATATGACTACGCTGGAAGGGTATAAGTGATAGCGGACAGCACACGAGTATGCACGCTGGCCACTGCTTCTTTCTAGCAAGTACGCCAGGGCGGCAAGGTGAATTCTGAACATCAACGGTACCGAACGACACCGGAGGCAAGATGCATGGCGTGTGGTCGACTACTCAAGCACGCGGCGCCCATTTCCTCCGTATATAGAATTGCTCAAGAACGAATGAAGTCAGCGGCAACGGATATGGGCAGGATAGAACTGCCAGAGATACGCGTAAGGTTCTCAACCATAGATAGAATTGGGAAATAGACGAACAGAGAGGCCTCTGGAGCGACTCATAGCAACTGGGATCATGACGCAGGTGATACAGGTCAACGGGACACATAGAACGCCAAGCTAATGTCCATCATTGCTGGGCAGCTGTGTACTCGAGCATGACGGCTCGTCAAACAACACCAAACCAACAGCAGCCCAGCAACAATGCGGGCATTGAAGAAATAAAGGACGCCATTGCGAAGCCTTGGTCGCTTGGGCGCATGACCAAAGCGAGCCTCTCAGTTCCACCAGACTAAACACACACAGTGAAGAGCTCAAGCAGAAAGAGAAGTCAGGAAGGAAACCGAGCCGGTAGCTGTCGGAGAGAACCTTGGCTGCTTGAGCTCAGGCATGTTTCACAAACAGCTGTCACCATCAGTGAGCGGTCGGTCGGTGGAAGAAAAACAATGATGCCTGTCGGCTCCCGAGGGAAGTCACACACGGGCAATAGTGCACTGAAGCAAACAACAACGTACCACTGCAGCTCTCTGCACAAACCGCCGTCAATGGTATCCTTGGGGGCGTTAGATAATGTTCAAACCTTCTCTGAACGGAGGTAGATGCACTTGCCGGAAGTAGCTGTGAGCAAGGGCTTGCTTGGCAGATATTCGCCGGCATGGTTCGTAGCACAGGAAACGCTATGCGGAAGATCACAGCAGCAACAGCAGCAGCAACATTGCACACGCCACATCTCAGTTCAGCACCGAGTGAAAATCATGTGCAAGCAATGAATATCTCTCCATGCACACACACACACACACACACACACGCCATCTAACTCACGCACGCAGACATAAGAATACAATGTACATGTCGTGTACATTTAGAGATAACCCTGCCAGAAAAAAAACAATATCAGCTTCATTGCAAAGGTGAACACATACCTGAAACAGGTCCAAGCTGGAGTCGGTCATTTCAGGAATTGCTTGCTTCCAGTCCCGAGGCTGCCACTTAGGAAATGACGGCTTGTAATCGGGCATCTCGCTCACGCCTGGCCAGACCTCATCAGTCGGTGTACCCAGTGTGCTAAACAAACACACAGAATGCAGTGTGCACACTCTCATGACGTAGAACATGGACATGTTATGGAAATACCGTAATGTCGCATGGTAAACCCGGTCACACCTTCCTGAACGAAAGATATATTGACCTTGCGGCTAGAATGGATCGATGTTTCAGCTATCAATATTTTTCAAAACGAAACTCTCCTCGACCCACCCACCCACAAACGAAACTTTTTCGTTTTGTGTAAAAGATTGATAATAATTATGGATGGCCCCTTATGACCCTCCCACGGCTGTAAACGCATGCATTGAATGCGGCCAGAATCCTCTGGGCACGAGACCGCAGGTGACCTGCTGAGAACGCGACTTGACATGTCAGAAATTTGTCCTTGACAGCCTCATTGTTTTAGGGAAGTATCTCACGAGTTGCCGTCGTTTTAGGGGCCCTGAGTATTGTTTCAGGCCGATTACTACGACGGGTTTGGTGTTTTACACTCACGTGCAGCTTGTTCTCTCAAAATAAATTGTCGAAGTCGAAATAGTTGTCCGTTCCGGATCGTCCTTCTTCTTCTTGTGCTTCACTGTGTGGATGTCATCGATGGTCTCCAGCGAGTTCCGGCAGGTATTAGTGTGGGTGCCTCGTTTTTGTAAACTTCAGTTCTTGTTGGAGTACGAAGGTAAGGTCTTTACGTTGTGTGAGGAGTCGTCGTCATAGCTTTACGCTCCTTTACGGTTGTTGTTTTTTCAGGCCAGTTTGTAATTGCATGTCTAAAAAAGATAAAATACCAAAATAAATCTATGGATAGGCATAGGGAGCTACTTCGCCAGATGTGCCGTGTTAGTGGTCGTAAGTTTAGTAATATAGCGAAGAAAGGCGTCTCTACGAAATATGCTGTGTCGGATCATATTACTGAATTAGAATCTTGTTTTCCAACTGTTAAAAAAGACCAGAAAAATGCTGATGTATATCCTGAATCATTTTGTGCGTCACGCATGGCAGTTGTACGACGGTTTAAGAATGCTCAGGAGAATAAAGAGAGGTATGCAAGGATTAGTGGAGGGTGTGGGGCAATGAAACTGTGGGAGGCACATGGTAGTGTTTGTGGGTCGGGTGTGATTGGACGACCGTCCAAACTTGCAAAATGTGAGGTGCCGTTTGCAAAGCCATCACCCATCCCCATCAGCACCACCCCGACTCCTATTGACAATGTCACCGGAAAAGCGACTGGTAGCTTGAAAACTGGTGCTGACCTTGTTCCAAGTCGCTTTCTTGAGCAGCATGAACAATTAATGCGTGGAATTTGTTCGTTGTTCGTAGACGCTGCTCTCGAAACGCCATGCTGCAAACATTTGTTTTGTGCGAAGTGCATTTCATGTTGGCTGGACCAAAGCACGAAATGTCCGCATTGCAAAGATGCACTTTGTCTAGATAATTTGGTGTCACCACATACTATTGTGGCTGACATCATCAAGCAGTCAGTCTTGAAGTGCGATTCTACGAGGCGCCGCTAATAGGCTGCCCAGTGCAGGTGAGGCTTTGTGACCTAAAGAGCCACGTTCAGAATTGCTCTCACAACCCAAGCACCCCATCCACTCCTATTCAGAGAGTAGTGTCTGAAACCTCCACCATTGGTGATGTTCTAGCCGCTTCCCACTCAATGCTCTCTGGGAAAGTGTTTGATGCCCTGACTAAACGTGTTGTCGAGAGCAGTGCAGAGGGTGACAGACTTGAGGTCCGTGGAGGTGGTGGCTCTCCTGCTGTTTGGACCCGTACCCCGGTTGCAAGGGTGTCTTCCACCGATTGCAGTGGTCGTACTGCACGGAGACGGTCATCCATGACGTCCTCCTTTACACATTCTGTGTGTGGTGGTGTAGGTGGTCCCTTTGCCCACGTTGCTGGTGAGCTTCGTCGCAAAAGTGTAGATGATCGTAATGAGCTGCTCAAGGCAGCAGGCCTGTCATCAAAATCCCCATCGCCTGGCTTAGCCCTGGCCATTAAGGCAGAGCTGCGTTTTCCATGGTACCAATTGAGAAAATTACAAAAATGTATGTCTATGATGGGTATTTCTTTGGAATCTGAGCAGGTTTCAAGACAGTTTATCAGGGAATTTCTTTGCACGAAAAGTGTGATACACTTGTGTGGCATGATGGCATGGATGAGAATGATCTATGGGTGAAGTTTGTGGGTGATCATGCAGGGAAATCCTTTAAGTTCTCGCTGCAGCTGCTGAATGTTAGTCACCCAAACTCCTGCAAGAACACGATACCACTTTGCGTGTTCAGCGCCAAGGATTCTGCTGCCAATTTGGAGAGTGCGCTTGCATGTACCAAGAACAACTGGAGAAGTTGCAGGCAACTACTCGGACTGACAAGGCAGGCTCCGAAAAGCATATCCAAACCTTCCTTTGTGGTGACCATGAATTTCTCACCACAATGTTTGGCATAACAGGTGCAAATGGTGTGCACCCTTGTTTGTTTTGTCACACTGATAAAACAACGATACAGAAAGTACCCACAGTGCCAGCTAAAGTGCGGACACTGGATACGCTACATGAATGCCACCAGTCCTTTCTGAGAGATGGCGGGCACCTCAAGAAGGCCAAGTTTCACACTTTAACGTGATCCGGCCAGTGATATTGCCTTTTCCTTTGGCTAAAGTCGCGATTCCGAGCCTGCACATTGACCTAGGGGTTTTCGCCTGGATCTATAGTGCCCTGCTAAAGGATGTTGCAGACCTTGACAATGATCTGGCAAAGTGCATCTTTGTTGGCAGCACGGACAAAGACAGCAGCATGCATCAGCAACTGTGCCACGCACACGAAGCTTTGCTTGCAGCGAACGAAAAGCTCAAGTATGCACAAGAGAAATGTACAAAAGCCAAAGAGCAGCTAGAATATATGATTATCCATGCAGGAAGGTTTGGCAGCAACCAGCACCTTGAGAACATGGCCAACGTGCAGAACGAAGTGGGGAATGTACAAAGATAAACAAGAGCTTGCGGAGAAAGAATTGAAGGAGAACACTGATGCTGTGAAAAGCATTCAAGGTAAAGCTGATGGTAGTCCTTGTGCTGCTTCCCTAGAGGCTGTACTCCAACAGCACGGTATACAGCGCCAAGCTTACCATGGCGGAGCATTCGAAGGAAATCATGTCCACAAAGGGTTGCAGGAGAAAGTGTTTAGTGATCTCTGTTTTGCACCCGCACATGTCATCTCCAAGAGAGCAGAGGCTAGTGCAGAAGGTGCGAGTGCAGGACAGAAAGATCAAGTGACGTGTTTGGTGCAAGCCGCTACTGTTGTTAAAGACCGCTATGTTTCATTATTTTCTAAATTCGCAGCTTGTCATGTAGGATTGTCCACCAGTGTAAGTCCGAATGTTGACTCACTCTCACAACTGCATGCCAATATTTCTGCTTTTCTTGCAGCTTGCCGGCAGGAAGTTGTCTCGCGTGGTCGTGGAAACGTCACACCAAAGCTTCACCTTCTTGAGGCCCATGCAGTCAGCTGCTTGGAAATTTCCAAATGGGCATGGGGCTACTGAATGAGCAGGGGGCAGAGTCCATCCATGCTGCCTTCAATCAGCTGGAGCGAAATCATTCCTCCATGCGAAACACGGCTGACCGGCTGTGTGCATGTGCACAAGCACACATCTTGAATGCGCTGTCACAGCACACTCTGCTTCTGCCACCAACGCAGAAACGCAAGCGTAGCAGAGAGCCCTGAACATAGCACTAGTACATTCCGACGACCATGTGTGTTGTAGTGCGTTATGTTGTGTGCGGCGTGTGTACGTGGTGTTGGTGCATGCGCCTGTTGCGGTGGTGTGAAAAGCAGTCTTCGTCTTGAGTTCGTCATGTCCAGTTGTTTTTCCGTAGTCGTCTTGTAATAAACAGTCTTCTAAATGTAGTTATCGTCGTCCATTGTATAAGTGTGGAGATGGCACGGAGCTGGGAGCAGGTGGAGAAAGTCAGTCACAACATTGGTGGGCTGACTTTCTCCACATGCTTCCAGCCCCGTGCCATCTCCACACTTATACAACGGACGACGATAACTACATTTAGAAGACTGTTTAAAGGGGAAGTTAAGGCAAAAATTTAAATTTCACCAGTTGTAGTCTTCGGGGTGCTGAGTCGAATGGTCTTGGTCCGAGGAAGCTGAGACGCTCCCTTCCTACCTGAATCCCAATCGAACTCGCGCACTTCCACCGAAACTGGGTGACTGCGCCCTACTAGATGGGGATTTGTATGCAAAATGTCACTAAAAGCGCCATTTCGTTCTTATAAAAGCACGGATGACCGCGATTGGCCCATATGTTGTAGTCTTTTGGACGCTGAGTCGACTGGTTTTGGTCCGAAAAGGCTGCGATGCAGCGTTCCTCCTTTATTCCCAATCGAACATGGTTGAACAAGCGGTCACGTGCTCCTGGGTGCCCAAATCACCTGGTCACCACGCCAGCAGGCGACAACTTTCACACCAAGGTTCAACTCGAGGTCAACTCGAGTGACAGGACTGCACCCAAAAAAGGTCAAACAGGCTAGTAAGTTGTACCCTGCAGGCACGGTGACCAGGTGACTGGCGTACGCAGGAGCACGTGACCGCTTGTTCAACCATGTTCGATTGGGAATAAAGGAGGAACGCTGCATCGCAGCCTTTTCGGACCAAAACCAATCGACTCAGCGTCCAAAAGACTACAACATATGGGCCAATCGCGGTCATCCATGCTTTTATAAGAACGAAATGGCGCTTTTAGTGACATTTTGCATACAAATCCCCATCTAGTAGGGCGCAGTCACCCAGTTTCGGTGGAAGTGCGCGAGTTCGATTGGGATTCAAGTAGGAAGGGAGCGTCTCAGCTTTCTCGGACCACGACCATTCGACTCAGCACCCCGAAGACTACAACTGGTGAAATTTTAATTTTTGCCTTAGGCCATCATTTTTTATATCTATGTTTCGCGTCGTCCGCACGCATACGTTTTGATTTTTTCCGGAAAAAAATAAAATCGAACATGCACAGTGACTCAGTGAGTGTACGATCGTGCGAGTCATCAGTGTGGACTGGTTGCATACGGCGAAGCTGGGATTCAGAATTGGCCTCGAGGCCAGCGTTGGTAGATCGTTTGTTCTGCATCTGCGAGCAGAATTCTTTGAGCTTACACCAGACCGCATCGATCGCCTCAAGCTGAGAGGATGCGTCGTTTCGGAGCTCTTTGCACCGCTGCTGAAGGCTGAGTACAATAATCCAGCGAAGCATGGGCACCAACGGTTGCCTCCTCTGTCCAAAGTGAATATTTCCTCTTGCTGATAACCCAGATTTTGTGCTTCGATGTACGATTTTTCTTTCGAATGTACACCATGCACGAGCTATTGACAATAGTCAATAGGCTATGTAGTAGGTACAGTGCTATACCTCTGATGATCCTTTTTTATTATTTTGCAACTTTTTATTTCTTTCCACCTCTCGCATACAATTCTGGAAGTTGACCTGACGCGAAACATAGATATAAAAAATGATGGCCTTAACTTCCCCTTTAATACAAGACGACTACGGAAAACAACTGGACATGACAAACTCAAGACGAAGACTGCTTTTCACACCACAGCAACCTGGCAACACACGCATGCACCAACACAACGTAAACACGACGTACACACAATAGCGTACTACAACATATGTACACGTACTAGTACTATTGTAGCTTATTTCCAGCCTGAGGTTTTGGTGCACAGCAAAATTCCATCCTCTGTGCTGTGCCAGAGCTTCAGTTTGTATCACTGTGGAAGCGGGTGAGTGGCGGGTTTCCTCAGGCTGGCAATTCGCTGCATCACTGCAATGTGCTTCTACTGTTATACTGTCGCGGACATGGAAATCCAGTCGATTGACCGGGGCCGGCGCCCTCAACGCCTACAGAACGTAAGTCGTTGCATGCAGTGCACAATCATGTTGATCCGATGCGACCAGCAGCAGCGATACGTGCTATATGGCTGCATTGCCAGCGCCCTGGGGTCGCTAGATGTGCGACCGGATTTCCATGTCCACGACAGTAGCTCCAAGCAGTGACTACAGGTACCGAGTATTGAAGCTTGAGGAGGGCAAGCAGTTGTGCAGATAATCACAATGGTCATGCTTCGTACGATTGTTCGTTCCGAGATCCTGGGCTGACCCCATGCGTTGATTCCATAGAACCAGTGCTGCCAGTGTCCCTCAACTAAACCGGCAGTCCGTTCAGAGTTCAGACAGATCAAACACCATCTACTATTATTTCTGTTCAAAATATCCAAGAAATCACAAAGTACAATTCCATGAACGAGATGCTTCGAAGACGAAAACAAATCCAATGTTCAAAGCTCCTTTCAAAAAAAAAAAGAAAAAAATCGTAGACCTAGATTCGAGTCCACGATCAATGCGGCTTCGTTTTGCTCGCGTGACTCCAGCGGCCATCTTGGATTGTGGCCGCGTCGTAACAGCCGTGCTCCTCCACCCACCCCTCTGAACGAAAAGTATTACCATTATGGACTTACAGCTAGAATGGATTGATGTTGGAGATACCAATAATTTTTACAAAACGAAACTGTCCTTGACCGTGTCAGCCGATGGGCGGTTCAATAGCCAATTGAGTCATCTTTCCAATATTCCTTTTGATTCTCTCTCCCCTCTCCCGGGGAGACCCCCATGATCAGTTTTGGCAGTGAGCAAGTACAAGTACAAGTGTTTGTGTGTGTGTGTGTGTGTGTGTGTGTGTGTGTGCGCGCGCGTGTGCATGGGTGTACATATGTATGTATGAATGTA